CTCCAGCCTCCCCACTGCTGCCAGCCCCCTGTCTGGTCGGGCTGATGCCTTCATGCTCCCATTTCCCCTTCTTCTTGCCTGGATGAGTCTCCTGTATTTGGTGTCTTTGTTCCCCCTTCACCTCCGCCAGGGCAGGGCTGTGCCTGCCACCCCATGCCCAGTGCCAGCACAGGAGACCGTGAGCTCCATGACCCGATGAGTGAGCGCGGGTCCAGTTCACTCTGGGGGCCCAGCGCATGGGGATGCACAGGGCATGGGGCGTGCAGGGCATGGGGATGCACAGCGCATGGGATGCACAGGGCATGGGGCGTGCAGGGCATGGGGATGCACAGCGCATGGGATGCACAGCGCAAGGAGATGCACAGGGCATGGGGATGCACAGGGCATGGGGCGTGCAGGGCATGGGGATGCACAGCGCATGGGGATGCACAGGGCATGGGGATGCACAGGGCATGGGGATGCACAGGGCATGGGGATGCACAGCGCATGGGGATGCACAGGGCATGGGGCGTGCAGGGCGGGCTGGGCCAGGAGGAGACCCAGACCCAGACCCAGACAATAAAGACAACGTGGAATGTGACATTTTATATCAACATTTTAAATCATTCAAATACCCACTATGAAAAAACCCAAGCTTTCTAGACTACCTTGGACTGCTATTTTATTTAAAATATATTTTATTGATGATTTTTTTTTTTTTTTTTTTTTTACAGAAAGGAAGGGAGAGGGGTAGAGAGCTAGAAACATCGATGAGAGAGAGTCATTGATCAGCTGCCTCCTGCACACCCCGTACTGGGAATATGTCCGGAATCAAACCTGGGACCTTTCAGTCCGCAGACTGAAGCTCTATCCACTGAGCCAAACCAGTTTCCGCTAGACTGCTATTTTAGAATTAGTACTTTTCACTTCTGGGGGAGCAGGCTGTACGCTTGTTCTTCGTCCACCAGGCCCTAAAATGAGGCCATTAGGACGGCCTTGCTGGTTCCCCTCAGATGGGGGACCCACAAAGAAGCTAAGCAACAAATTAAAGAGCATCTGAAAGGCCGTCCTCAGGAGCACCTTGCAGTGGACCAGCCCGGGGCGCACAGCGCTCCCTGGACAGCCTGGGCCTGGCCACTCCCTCAGCCCGCGGCTGCAAATCGCATTAACTTGATGAAACCATTTGTCCAGCCCCCTCTGGTGCCCCTTCCATTACCTCACTCCCTCTTCTCAATCAATCTCTCAGCCTCTGAGCTTACCCTCTAAATCAATTCTGCTCTGAGAGCCTCTCACTGCTTCCCGCCGCTGTACCATCCATTGATTTGATGGATCAGTTGCCTGGAGCCCCTGCAGCCACTCTGCTCGCCCGGGCCTCAGCACTTACAGACCTCCCAGGGGAGCGGCCAGCTGGCTGCAGGCCCGCCTGAGCCGTGGCCAGGCGCCCCGTGGCTCCCAGGGCCCCAGTGGCTCCCCAAGGCCAGTGTTACTGGGCCTGCTCTGAAGGCCATAGGCGGTGTGAGCGGTGGGGTTCTCTGAAGAAGACCCTGGGTGAGGACGCCAGGGAGGGGGAGGGGAAGGGGGAGCAGTACAGAAGGGGAGGGCCGAGCTGGGAGCAAAGCCCAGCAGAGGGAGGTCTCGCCCCGAACTCCGGGCTCTGATGCGTGACATCTGCCTCTTCACCCCTGAGTGGCTTCCCATGAGACGCTGGGCTGCAGGGGTTCGGGCTCCTCACCCAGGGGCTTAGGCCAGGGCTGGGGGTGTAAACTAGGTTCTCCCAGTGCCTGCCCAAGGTGTGCTCCAGGAGCCAAGGGGCCCTACAGACACAGGCGACATGCGGGGCTGCAGGTACAGCACCCAGGGGAAGCCGCCCCCAGTGTAGGGAGGATGGGAGTGGGGGTGAGGGTGGGGGTGCAAGCTGGGAACTCAGGCAGAGTGAGGGGAGACCGACCGCTCACCCTCACTGAGCCCGCTCTCCTCCAGCCCTGGCAGGGGCTCCAGAGAGGGCCCCCTGGCCTGGCCCCCCAGAGGGCCACACTGGCCCGGGCCCCGCTCCCGCGAAGTGCCATCTGTCCAGCCGGAGTCCAGCGGCGCAGGCGAGGCCTCTGGTTAGTGTGAGGCACTGCCTCCTGTGTGTCTGTCCAGGTTATTGTCCGTAAACATTACCAGGCTGGTGTTTCAGTTGCTATTTTAGGTTCCCCACGGGCCCTCCGCTCCACTCAGCATTCTTTATTCCACATGCACCCCGCATCCTTTCCCCCACGGAGCGCACTGTGCACGGCCACCCCTGGAGGGCATCACCGCCCGGACCGCGCCCACGGCCCTTCCACACGAAACGCGGTGCTGTCTTCTGTTTGGGAGCCGTGTTTGCCTTCCCTTTCCATGCAGTTTTTGTTTCATGTTATTGTGCTGTAGCTTGCTTCCCACCGCCAGAGTACAATTTAAGTAAATGTTAAAGCAGAAACGGGAGATGGGAGGGTTGCAGGTACAGTTTTAAAAGGTGGTCAAGCCCGGCCCGAGTGGCACAGTGGGCCGAGCACTGTCTGGTGTACCCAAAGGGCACGTACCTGGGTTGTGAGTTCGATCCCCACTTGGGGCATATCTCTCTCTCTGTCTCTCTCTCTCTGTCTCTCTCTCTCTCTCTCTCTCTCTCTCTCTCTCTCTCTCTCTCTCTCTCTCAGCAGGCCCTCGGGTGAGAATGTTAAAAAGAATCATAATGAACATAAAATTAAATACCCAGTATTTTTTCTAAAGGGTGATCGAGAGAATGAGGGGCTGGAAGAAGGCCCTGCAGAGACAGGACGGCGGGGCAGGGCCAGGGCCCAGCGTGTGGCTGCCCTGAGGGCTGCGGAGACCAGTGTGGCCAGGACTGGGGAGCACAGGGGGTCAAGCGACCCCTGGCCTGGTCTGAGGACCTTGCGGCTGTCGTGATGGCCCCATTATCCACAGAGCAAGAAGGGGAGTCTGCAGAGCAGTCGTAGGGAGCATCGTGGCCTCACTCTCACCTGCAAGAATCTCTCTGGCTGCCCTGTTAAGAGGCTTAGACAGAAGTCGGAGTGGAGGCTGGGGGAGGGGCTATAGCAGTAATTCAGGAGAGAAATGAAGGCTAGCCGGAGGGTCGTGGTCTCACTGACAGGTGGGGAGAAGGTTTCAGGGTGGAATGTGCATTGGAGGTGTTCAGGGGGGCATGTCATGGACATGTGGGTCTAGGGTTCAGGGGTGAGCTTTCTGCACATCCATGGTGTGTAGATCCAGGAGACAGAAGGAGGACCCTGAGACAGCGAGTGTGGATAGAAATGGGGCCCAAGGACTATTCCTGGACACAGCACACCAAGAGGTGGGCAGGATGAGGACACTGAGAGTGATGAGCAGTGAAGGAGGGGAGAGGAGGGAGAGCTTGGAACCCAAGGGTAGAAGCGATACTGGAGGAGGAAGCCAACTCCATCAAGAGCTGCAAGGGGTCAAGGAATGGGAGAACTGACGTGGCCTTGGATTGGTCAGTATGAGGGTTTTGGTGACCTTGATGAGAGCAGTTTGGGTGGAACAGGTGGGGAAAGCCTGACGGGGTGGGGTCAAAAGAGAACAGGAAGCAGTCAGAGATGATGAAGGAGTTCTGGAGGCAGATGATGGTCATGGTTACCTACTAGTACCAAATGCCACTGACCTCTGCACTTAACTATGGTTACAGTGATAAATGTCATGTGAGGTATATTTTACTGCCAAATAAGGGAATAGGAGAGGAATTGCAAAAGAGAGTAAAGATGCCTCTTCTGAAGTGTTTGTTAAAAAGGGGAGCTGAGCCCTAACCGGTTTGGCTCAGTGGATAGAGCGTCAGCCTGTGGACTCAAGGGTCCCAGGTTTGATTCTGGTCAAGGGCATGTACCTTGGTTGCCCTCCATCTCACTTGGATGCAATCCTTGCTGGTTTTTATAGCCAGATGTTACGGGGACTCCTCCTCCTGGCACTGGAGGCCTGGTGGATGCCTGGAGGAGGCCTGGTGTGAGACTGGGACTTCTCGCTCCTCAGGGGTGAATTCTGCAGACAAGACCCCCCCCCCCTCTCAATTTTTAATCACATACTGTAGTATGGGACCTGCAGTTCCATGTCTCTGCCCCTCCAACCCATCTCCATGCGGCTTCTCCTGATTTATTATGTTTTTAATCGTCTCCCAATGCATGCTTTTGTCTTTTTTTTTTTGAGAGAGAGAGAGAGAGAGAGAGAGAGAGAGAGAGAGAGAGAGAGAGAGAGAGAGAGAACATTGATGTGAGAGTCAAACATCAATCAACTGGTTGCCTCCCACACGGGTCCGACCAATTATTGAACCTGGGTATGTGTTTTGCCCAGGAATTGAGCCTGCCACCTTTTGGTGTCCGGGATGATGCTCCAACCACCTGAGCTGCACCAGCCAGGGCTGCGGCTTCTTTATGTCCTTAGCTTGGCTGGTGTTCGGGTGGCTCGCAATGGTAGTTGCTGCATGAATCAGTTGTGATTTTGACCTGGTTGTGGGAGAAGGCAAGCACAAATTCACCTATTTCACCATCTTGATCAGAAACCTCGTGTCTCTTATTTCACTGCTTAACCCCAGCACCGGGAACAGTGACTGGCATACAGTAGGTACTCAATAAGTAGTTGAGTGAGTAAATGAATGAACCATTGAACAATTGGAAGGATGGCTGTGTGGGTCCATGGGTGGGTGTGTGGGTGCATGGACAGATGCATGGGACAGATGTATGGATAGATGAAGAAGCCTGGGGAAAGAGGGAACATAGGACCCCAGAGATGAGCTGAAACTAACCAGGCAGGCAAGCCGTGCTCCTGCCTCAGGTAGATAACCTTGGGATGTTGCTGCTCAGGCGCTCCAGCCCGTGTCCCTCTGAAGCTGAGGGGCAAATGGGCCGAGTGAGGTCAAGCCCCGGAGCCCTGAGCTCCCCTGTCCCAGCCACAGGGCAGCTGGGGCCAGGGTGGGGCAGGGGCTGAAACGGGCAGCATCCTGCCACTCACTCGGTGTGTTCTTTGGCTTGCAGCCCGCTCCAAAAGCCTGGTGATGGGGGAGCCGGACCAGAGCCCCAGGCAGCCCCGCGGCCCCTGCGGGCAGGGCCCTGTGCTGAAGGCAGGCTGGCTGAAGAAGCAGAGGAGCATCATGAGGAACTGGCAGCAGCGCTGGTTCGTGCTGCGCGGAGACCAGCTGTTCTACTACAAGGACGAGGCCGAGGCCAAGCCCCAGGTGAGGCGAGTGCTCTGTGTCCGCACAGATCTCGGTGCGGCTCCCCGAAGGGCTGACCACGCCCAGGACCCCTCCTGTCAGAACCTGCACCCCACAAGCCCCCAAGCCCCTGCCTTTGCTCAGGGTGACACTCCTCCAGGCTCCCCGTGTCCATCCCCAGCCCGGCTCCGGGGTCACAGCCCTGTCACTGAACCCCCACCACTGGTTTCCTGCTGGTACTGACAGCAACGTGCACAGCGGGAGGAGCAGGTCCTGGCTGTGCTTTTATATATATATATTATTGATTTTTTACAGAGAGGAGGAGGGAGGGGTAGAGAGCTAGAAACGTCAATGAGAGAGAAATATCAACCAGCTGCCTCTTGCACACCCCCTACCGGGGATGTGCCCGCAACCAATGCACATGCCCTTGAACGGAATCGAACCTGGGACCTTTCAGTCCGCAGACCGACACTCTATCACTGAGCCAAACCAGTTCGGCCTGGCTGTGCTTTTTGATGCTGTGTTCCAAGGAGACACAGGCGCCCACATTTTACTACTTTTGTTGTCCCAGGAAGTGGGCACCCACCCAGCCTGCCCTCCACCTGAGATGCAGCTCGGGGGGGTGCCTCTGTTCTCACCCGGGCCAGGCAGCGGCTCTTGTGTTTTCTGTCAGAACCCTGACGCCCACGGGCGGGGCGGGGTTAGCAGTGCGCCTTTCCCCTTTCCCCGGTGACGCTCATTCACCCCTCAGAGCAGCTAGTCGCTCCCCCTCCGCGGTGCGGCCCGGTAACCGTTGGACCACACACAGGTCACAGTGAAGGGCCGTCATCCGAGGCTGCCAGGCTCCTGGGGCTCAGCCATCTAGTCCTCATGTGGGACTCAGAGAGAGGACATCTGGGGAGACACGGGTTTCTCTGGGGCAAACGGGGAAGGGGATGTAAAAGATTCATCCAAAGGATGCCCCCAGTCAGAGCTTCAGGCCGGAAAGGAAAGGGAGATCCTATGTCGGGGCTGGGAGTCAGAGCCTTGGAGGCGGGAGCCCCATGCATCTCGGCAGCTCCCACCCTGTGGGTGGGTCTGGGAGGCAGGGGTGCTCAGTGAAGGGCGGGGCAGGAGGAGGTACTGGGCACAGCATGGCATCACAGCATCACTGTGAGAAATGCCCTCTTCACCCTCTTTCACCTCCCCCAGTGCTCCAGCGGGGGGTGTCACTTGGGACTAGCAGGCCTTTAACACCTCCCAACCCCTGAGGTCCTCCCTTGAAAAGATGGGGGGCAGGGGGCAGGCCTTTCTCAGACTCCAGTGCAATGACTAGCTGCTCATTAGCCATCGCTGTCTTCACGTCTGTTAGTGGAAAGGAATGCTGGTTTCTGTTCATGAGAGTGACATCATGCTTTTATTTTTTAATATGTCCAACTGAAAATTAAAATGTGTTGTACATCAATGGGAATGTAGTTAATGCGCTGAACTGTACACTTAAAATGGTTAGAATGGCCAAAACCGATTTGGCTCAGTGGTAGAGCGTTGGTCTGCAGACTGAAAGGTCCCGGGTTCAATTCCAGTCAAGGGCATGTACCTTGGTTGCGGGCACATCCCCGGTAGGGGGTGTGCAAGAGGCAGCTGGACTATGTTTCTCTCTCATTGACGTTTCTAGCTCGCTCTCTCTCTCTCCCTTCCTCTCTGTAAAAAATCAATAAAAATATATTTTAAAATGGTTAGAATGGTAAATTATGTTATGTGTGCTTTGTCACAATAAAAAGTGAGACAGCTTAAGGAAAATTTTTACAAAAATTACAGTAGAGACTAGTGACCAGGTGCATGAAATTCGTGCACATTAAAAGGGAATTAGAGGAAGTATTTTAATATTGCTATTTGCCCTTTCTCTATAATAGAAGTGTCAGAGATGAAAGAAAATTAGTAAAATGTATGTGAAAACCTTCCTCCTGTCAGAATCTGGGGCACACCATGGGAACCAGAGTAAAGGCCCCACCCACCCATGTGCGCCTCGAAATCACACAAAACCCAGACCCAGCTGGCCCCAACCCCATTGGGCTAGATCCACACCTGACCGACCCCACCCTCGTCAAGCCCTGCCAGGTGGAGAGTGTGGCCTCAGGTCTCCTAGCCCAGCACCAGGGCAGGAGGTGCAGCCTGAGGTACCCCATCAAGCCCTGAGGTCCCCCAGCCCAGCACTGGGGTGGGGGGAATGGCCTGAGCCCCCACCCTACAGGGCAGGAGGCATGGCCTGAGGTCTCCTGTCAGGTCCAGCTGAGTGGGGGACATGGCCTGAGGTCCCCCCGTCTGACACTGGGGTGGGGGTGCGGCCTGAGGTCCCTCATCATGCCCCACCCAGTGGGGGTCACAGCCTCAGGTCCCTGCTGATTGCTAGTTAAGGCTCATTACCAGAACTCGGCCTTCGTTATGGGCAAAGCCATCTTGTGTTACAGAATTTCTGCCTCTGCTGTGGGCACAGCCATCCTGTTACAGTGTGAAGGTCAATTTGCATATTCCCTCTTTATTAGATAGGATAAGAGGTGGATATGACAAAACTCAGGAAGGAAGATCTGAACTACCGTAAGAGTCAGGGAACCCTGGTCCTGTGCAGCCTCTCTGTTCTGTAGGGAACAAAAACAAGTCCCAGAGAGGCTGATGGATTGAATAGGACTTTAGTCAGAGAGGCCCTGGCTGGTTTGGCTCAGTGGATAGAGTGTTGTCCTGTGGACTGAAGGGTCCTAGGTTCAATTCCTGTCAAGGGCACATTCAGACTTGATCCCCATTAGGGGATGTGCAGGATGATTCTCTCTCATCATTGATATTTCTATCTCTCTCTCCTTCTCCCTTCCTCTTGAAATCAATATATATATAAATATATATATATATATATATATATATATATATATATATATATATATATATATATTTTTTTTTTTTAAGAGTCAGAGAGATCTGAATTTGTATGATTTGGGACAAATCACTTAATTTGATTTTACTTTGGTTTTATTATTGCTAAAGTGGAGACTTCATTACCAGTGACATAGAGATCACAAAGGATTACACTATAAAAACTAGAGACATGGTGCACGAAATTCATGCATGGGGTTGGGGGTTGTCCAGCCCACCTGCACCCTCTGCAATCCGAGACTCGTCAGGTAGGGTCCCCAGCTGCCAGCAGCTCACCCCACCCCCACCTCAGCCACTGCTTGCCATCTGTGTAGTGCTCCCCCACCACCACAGGTCACCTCCCTCTGCAGGTGACATGTGTAGGGTGGGATCACTTGGCTGGCCTGGGCCTCCCTCTGCAGGGCGATTGTGGGGTGATGGCAGGGCCCCCTGACCAATTGCATCACACCCACCTTGGCTGGCCTGGCACCAGTGTGTGTCATAGCCTGGTTGTCTGGAAGGTCTTCTGGATCGTCGTTCTGCCGTTCAGTCATTCGGTCGATTTGCATATTGTGCTTTCATTATTAAGGATCTGTGTGAGCGAGGGACAACCTTCACTCTACCCTCAGGTTTCTCTGGCTGGTCTAATAATCAGGAGACATGAGAGATTAGCAAGAAAAAATAACCAAATTCAGTGCATACATATGAACAGAAGCCCACGTTCATGAGAGGTTCTGAGACAGAAAGGAGGCCTGATGCACAGACACCCTGAGCTGGGGGTGAGACCACCTTGGGGCTTCACAGATCCATGCAGGGTGCTGGGAAGAGCAGATGCTTCCTAAGGAAAAGCTGGCCTGCAACGGAGGTGAGTCAAAGGTTATTGCTGATCATCTCTTATGGGCAAGGCCCTCATTCAGTTCTCCCAGGCACTGGGGGGCGGGGGGAAGCGGGGGAGGGTGGTAGAAGTTTCTCCTGAGCCTGTGGCTAAGGTGGCCGTCAGCTCAAAACAATCGTGTACTACGGAGGCACATGTTGGGGCGACTGGTTCTGGACCCCACATATCATGACCAAGCACTAATCCTGGCACCAGATCCTCAGGTCTGGGTGCTCTCCCACTCCCTGTGTCCCTCCCTTCCCCTGGCCCTGCCCTGGGCCTGCTCCCCAGTGGGCACCACACCTCTGGCCCGCCCACCACCATTCTCCTTCCGACCTCTGCTCTCCATGTGGAAGGTCAGCCAGGGTCCTCAGCGGCATCTTGGCTCTCCTGACTGGCCTACGGCGACATCGCTCTGATGGCTATAACCAACATCAGGGTTCCCGCCTCTCAGAGCCCTGCCTGGGAACCCTCCTCTCTGCCCTCTCCCAGCCAGCTCCCTGTGCCATTGCCTGAGACTACCCGTGGTGCCAGGCACCCGGAGCTCACCCAGCCTGCACACCCACCCGCCCCCACCCTCGAGCCGCTCTGAGCCGCTCGCTCCCGGCAGGCCTGACTCACTTCGCTCTGACAGTAGGACCTCACACGTGCCCGCCTGCGGGCAAAGTAGCCCACAGATTTCCCTGTAATTGCATGAGCTACATGTAATGGGCTAATTCTCAGTGTCTGGTTCCTGGAACAAGGTGTCCTGCTCACTGTTTACAGTGACAGAGAGCCCAGGCGGTAGCCCTCCGGCAGACGGCTGTTAGCTGGTGGGCAGACATAATTGCCCAAACACGTTGGACGCTGCCCAGAGCACATGCCGTATGATGAGGATCACTCTCAGGGCCCGCTCCCGCTCTCTCTCAGCTGTGCCTTCCCCTCCCCTCCCCGGAGGTCAGCGGGCACAGTGTGCATGGATGGGAGGAGAGGAAGGGCTCGCTCACGCTCGGAGGGAAGACGAGGCCAAGGTGCTTTAAAGCACAGCCCGCAGCCTGCCCTGCCCCTCCAGCTCTTCCCAGTGCGTGTCCCTGGCAGTTTCCACAGACAGACTCAGAGTCGTTCAGAGATTCCAGACTTTTCTTTCTCTCAGTGGTTTCAGCATCTGCTCGGAATGTCTCCCGGGCCATGAACACCTGGCCACATGCTGGCTAATCGGCCGGGTCCGCTTCCGCGGATGCGGACTCATAAGTGCGTCTGGTTACCCTAGTTCTCTGCTTGTGGCTTT